ATGAAAGTTCTTAATAAGGAAGTACCTGTGGCACATAGCTTGTTCTAATTCTTTCTGGTGTGTGATCAAAAAGGATGGCTGGATGACGACAGTAAGTTTACACTGAGTTAAACACTTTACATTTCTGTATTTGCTCTGATATTACCTGAATAGTTTTCCGGGATTATGTATTGGTTATGAACAAAATTATGACCTAAAAAGATTGCTCTTTTGGTTTCTGAAAATTAAATACTTAAAATTAAGTAGCTTTCTGAGAAATGAGCAAATGAATTTTTCCATATTTGAAGTAATAAAAAAAGAACCACTCCATCAAATACAGCTCTTTAGGTAGATCACTTACATATAAGTAACCCTCAGGGAGGCATATGAAATTCTGGAAATATTCAACAATATCCAACACTCTTCATAAACCACCACTCTACACACATTTACTCCTTTTGTAATCTCACCTAGCAAAGCCAGGCCACAAAATAGGAGTGGGAAAACTAAAATCCACATATACAGTGGTGAGCCTCACAACACAGGTCTCTTTAAATAGCAAATTCCCCTAGTTTTCACCCCAGTGTTTTATACATAAAATGTGACCTAATCTGACTTGCACAGAAATGTTCAAAGGTTCATTTAGAGCACATGGCAAGTTACAGCTGCACAGAGCCAGGATACCCCGCCCCTCACTCCGCCGGGCCACGGGCCTTGTGCTTCCACACATGTCAAAGTGCTAGAACAGGAAGGATGGAAACCCGGCCACTCTCCAGCCCTGTATCACACAACTCCTGCTATGCACCCATCATGACACTTCTCTCCTACTTCGGAATCCTTCTCAACACTCTCCAGTCAGTCACTAGGAAAATGAAACCTAACCATCACCCTCATTCGAGAAGCCCCCGCTAAAACTTTCCTGAATCAATTCTGCTACATACTCACTGAAAACAGAATATTATCCCTGATCAAGAATTAAGGAACACTTTGGAACAAGGCAGCAGCAAGAACAACCGCTGTAAGTACAAATACTAAGAACCTCAGCTCTACCAACCAGTAGCTGGGTGGCCCTGGAGGTGGCCCAACACAACCTCTCTGAGACTGAATCTACTCACTGGTACCATGGGAATCCAAGTATCTCCCTCATAAAGGTGCTCTGAGTACATGCTAAGCACTGATGTATGGTCAGCACTACTATTATAAGGCATGAAATCACAGACTGCATTCCTGGAGAGGGCCTTAGGAGCATCCCAAAAAGAAAGCATTCATGGAATGCCTTCCACATGCTAGAAGGCTCATTTACTCATTCCCACACCCACTTTATAACCCGGTCCACAGCCTAGAGACTGGGGCTCAGAGAAACTGACACACGCCGATGCAAATGCGGGTCCTCCTCACGCAGAGCCACACTGTTTCCACCATGTCACCCCACCACGGACGGATGGACAGACGGAAGCGCTCTGTCCTGGCAAGGGAGGGCTTCAACCGCTACCTTTCGTGAAAGGGAATTTCACAGCAACCAAGGACCAAGAAGATGCCAACAGAGAGCCCCCCATGAAAGTGAAGAACCATTCTTCGAGCTTTACCGTCCATGCTGCTGGTCGCCATGACTGTGAGAACCAATACCAATGAAGAATTTTTATTAAATTCTTTTTGAAAACGCTTCCTGTGCCTGTGATGCATTAGCCGTAACAGAAATGATATAAAAGGACGAGAAATTCTCTTATGATGATTAGGGTGAATTAAAATCACTTTAAAAATAAAATAATAAAAAGGAAGATTTAAAAAATAACTACTGTCTTAAGACTCGGCTCTTTCACATATGAAAAAACCCAATTTAATAAAACCCAAAGGTAAATTATTTGATTATAAATAATGAAATATGGGAAGTAACAAGAGAGAACTCTGTATCGATTCACAAGGTAAAAGTACAGCTAGAGAATCCAAATTAAGTTCTAAGGTATTTCCAATTTGTTTTTTTTTTTTAAAGATTTTATTTATTTATTTGACAGAGAGAGACACAACAAGAGCAGGAACACAAGCAGGGGGAGTGGGAGAGGGAGAAGCAGGCTTCCCGCGGAGCAGGGAGCCCCATGCGGGGCTCGACCCCAGGACCCTGGGATCATGACCTGAGCAGAAGGCAGACAATGAGCCACCCAGGCGCCCCAAGGTATTTCCAATCTGTATGTCAGAATAAGAGTCCCAAGACATTTCTGCTTTCCTAACCGTCCAAGGGACACCAATCTGAACTTTGATTCTCCACCGGGCCACTTTCTAGCATGACGCTATGCACTGCCATAGTCCTGTGTCCTCTCTAGAGACCAAACAGTAGAACTAGATGAGGCTAATGAATGGAAAGAATAATTTTTATATTTTTTAAAGATTTTATTTATTTGACAGAGAGCGAGAGAGAGATCACAAGCAGGCAGACAGGCAGGAAGAGGGAGAAGGAGAAGCAGGCTCTCCGTTGAGTAGGGAGCCCGATGCGGGGCTCGATCCCAGGACCCTGAGACCATGACCTGAGCCAAAAGCAGATGCTTAACTGACTGAGCCACCCTGGCGTCCCTGGAAAGAATAATTTAATTGCATATATTTGATGCCACTTTAGACTAGAAAAAAGTAAAGGAAACACACTGACTCTCTCCAGAGTAAATCTCACTAGGAAAACTCATAAATACAATATACTGTGCCTTTGTACTAACAGAATGTATACAAGTCCAGGGCTCACAACAAAATACAAGAACATGAACAGACAACGAGATGCTTTTATTCCATAAGTAATTATAAACCCGAAATGCATAAATACTATTCTGCACGGGTGTGATGTGCTAAGCCTGTCAGAGCCTTATCGGGCTGCTGGCTGAGCCCCAGGCATTAACGCCACAGCCCACAGAGGAAAGAGAGAGGGCCAGGAGGGCCAGAAACAACAGTCAGGAGAAATGTGAGCTCACCCAGCACCTAACAAAACAGTTTCCTCTTTGCATTACCTGCACAATTATGAATATGTTCTCTTAAGAACAGTTCCTACCCACACAAAAAAGCCCAAGGCCTCTAGGGAAATACGATTTTTTCTGGTTCAGAGACACACAAGGGTGATCCTGTGGCAAGCTGAAAGTTGCCAACATGCTACTGCAGGACTTGTTGGAAAAAATCCCAAGATACAGAACATGTTGCTTAGATAACTTAAAACTTAAGAATTAAAAAGAGAGGTGCGCCTGGGTGGCTCATTTGTTAAGCGTCTGCCTTCGGCTCAGGTCATGATCCCACAGTCCTGGGATCGAGCACCACACTTCGGGCTCCCTGCTCAGCGGGAAGCCTGCTTCTCCCTCTCCCACTCCCCCTGCTTGTGTTCCCTCTCTCGCTGTGTCTCCCTCTGTCAAATAAATAAATAAAATCTTTAAAAAAAAAAAAAAAAAAGAATTAAAAAGAGAGCTAAAAAGTTGTTCCAAATTTTGGTAAGCAGCTGTTTTCACATAGCATTCCTCTGTGGTTTCTCTGTGTTTTGTAAAATTATACAGCATGACTCTGGAATAGTCTTATAAAAAATACATTTTTCCCCAGTGGAGAAAAAAACAACGAAAATTTAAGTAGCTAAATTATTTTAAAGGAGAGGTGTTTATTAGTTTGAAAGCTGCTCTCTGAGAGCAGAGCAGTGAACTGCACCTCCCAGCCCGTGAGAGGCCCTTACTTTACACCAGCCACACCACACACAACACCAACCATGAATGCCACGGGAAAAAGTCTGCTCCCAACCGTGGCCCCATGGCCCCATGACCCCTCCTCCCAAGTTTTTAACTCAAGTAAAAAAAATGAGACATTGACAAAGTCTGCCTAAACAAGACTTCGACAAAGTTTCATGGTATCTGTGATCTTCTGTTTTGACCTTGTTTCAGGCTGACTTTGTCGAAGTCTTGTTTAGGCAGACTTTGTCAATGTCTCATTTCTTATCGCACGTGAAAAAGTCACACTTCTAGTCTACAGACCTAGAAATAAAATAAAACTCAACTCCTTAAACAACCAGCGATGAGCTGTTCCTAAGCCAGCACAGCCACACCCCTCCACATCCCTCCCAGATGCACAGAGAGCGATGGCCGCCCGCACTCTTGGGTTTCGCTGGCCTGCTCTAACAGCCTGCGTCTGCAGTTCTTCCCTCCTTCCTCAACGCACAGTACAGACGGCACATGAAGGGGAGCGCCGCCACAGAGCGCCGCCCATCCTGACGCACAGTGCAGGGCCATCGACACAGGAGAGGCGAGTCACCTTCTGTGAGCGGGTCAAGAGCATGTGGCACGGTAAGGAGGTACGGGTGCTAACAGAGTGTTCCCTGACAGAGAATCTTCTACAGGGGGCATCTGTCTGCGGCAACTGTGTTAATATTTTGAGTACAGAACTCATCCAAACCGCAATGACTGTGCCTCGCTAAAAATGATTTAGAAGGGGCAGCACCGTCCAAAAGGAAAGCAAGCAATGAGGCGCGCCCCACTTCTGAAAGCATGTGGTAAGATCATACATTATTTCACTTTAGAATTCTGTTGCTCCTTTTGTTTTTTTACAACGGGGGAGATTAGCTTGAAAAGAGAAGACAGGAAACAGCCTCCAAAACAATGCTGCTTAAAAGGAGCCACACAATATACACACTTGCCCCCCACCCACAGGTGCTCACTGAATCTAGAGCTACACATAAAAGATTGTTTTGTGGTAAAGGAAATTTTATTTTTAAAACAAACTTGATGGTTCTATCACAAATTACCTACAAAAATAAGCTAAAACTGAGAAACACCTCGTTTGGGGACTGTCACGGTGGTCTTCCATGAAGACTCAAGACAGACAACATGGGTCTCAGTCGGAAAGAGAATCTAAATGACAACTCTCGTCACCGACTGCAAGTACGGACGGGCTAGACCACCTGACTGTAACAGAGGCGGTTCCGACTTCCCTTTCTTCAAAACCCTTCTCTGGGAATTAGGACATTCTGAGTGAAGCACAGATTCCAAGAGGCACCAGTTACCTCGTCAACTTACCCCGCCTGACAACTTAATCACCCTGACCTTGGAGCTGACGTGCGGCCCATCTCCGCCACCGCTGTTTGCCCGGTGCATGACAGTCCTTTTCGCGCCGGGCTTGGCGTCCGGGGGCCGGCCCTGGAGGGACGCCACTCGAGCGGTCTGTGAGGGGGGTGGCGGCCCCTCCCCGTCCGCAGGTTTTACCTGCAGGACTTTGTGCTGAGCTGGACTCTGAGGTACGGTTCTGGCCTGTCTCAAAGGTTTCAATGGTTTCATCAGTTGTCCTTGATACTGCATGTTAGCACCAGATGGCACAAAATTTGATGTTTTGGGCTGAACATTGGAAAGAGTGACATCTTGGTTTTTCACGAGAAGTCTGTTTTTCACGTTTTGTCTGACCTGTGCACCTGGGAAGGGTAACAGTGGGTTTCCATTGGTGGGCGATGGGGAGGCCGCCGGCTGCTCCGGCTCTGCCGAGGCCGGGGGCAGGTGGAGCTGCTGCTGGGCCAGCCTCTCGAGCAGCTCCTTCTTCCGCGCTCCCGCCTGCTGCTGCCGGCGCAGCTCCTTCTGCTTGAGGATCTCTTCCCGGAGGCGCTTCTGTTCTTCGATCTTCAAGCGATATAGCCTTGTTTCTTCATCTTCGTCAGGAAACTGCAAGAGAACACAGGCCTGCTTCAGTGCGGAGGACGAGGCGAGGGGGGCCGACCCGGTTTAGCGCAACAGACTGAGAAAATGCACCTTCCAAAAACGATCCATTCAGGATCGAAAAGAAGACATTCAAAATCTGCTTGTAGACTTTAAGTATAACCCCTTCCTCTGGGGAGGGGAAAAAATTACACACAGCTCAAGCTAATTTGGAAAATCTTATCAGAATATTAAAAACTATTGAAGTAATGTAAATTTCCACTCATTTACAAGTTTGAAACCAATTAAACTGTTCATTTAAGATATCAAAATATGTTTCGAATGGAAAGGCAACGGTAGGGAGACCATGCTGTCACAGAGGTTTTATCTGGCTCTTCTCTGACGAACCAACAAAAGGTGGGTGTAAATGACCTGAAAGGGCCTGATTAGAACTATTGATTTTTCGTACAGAATTTTCAGCCTGATCTCAAACTCATTTGTCACAGAATAATTGGTTATAATGAACAGCACAAGTCAATCTCTCTGACCTTGAACTCATGCACTCTCCACAGAATCAAAATGCTGCCAATTGCAGTATTGGAATATTAATGGTATATAAGGAGTGCTTTTAATATGCCAGCCCCAAACCACTCTGAAAGTCTACCCAAAAAAATCTTTGAGAAAGTTCAGTAACTTTCATAAAAAGCATCCCATGAGGAAAGTTTACTAAAAGTTATGCATTTGTTAAGAATTACAATAATTTTCTTTTTAAAAATCGCAGATACCCTAAACTAGAGATCCTTTACAAAAGAACATAATAGGATTTAATCTCGCTACAATTCAGCTAATAACAAATTAACCTTAAGAATCAGGAATTAAGACCAAAAGGCAGCTGAGGAGTCTGTGAGTGCTCCTAGAACCCACGCAATGACCTACAGGACAGAGTCGGGCCTCATGAGGACTTGCCGGGCATTTCAGAATCCATTCCAACCACCTTGGTTATCTGCTTGCAAAGTCTAAGACAGAGCTGAAACAGCAAATCTGCAGGCAGATAAAGGCTCAGGGAGACACCCAAAGCAAGACACGACGGTAGGAGAAGACAGAAAAACGGGGATGTGGACACAGCTCGGAGCGGGGCCGCGGCCTTCCGGGAGAGGCAGACCGCTGGGGGAAGCGGCAGGTCCAGAGCACCCGCTGTTTCAACACGGGAATAATTCACATTCTCCAAAGATTCTCCCCAAACAAGGAAGAATTAATGTATGTTCAGGTACATAGGAGGAAATACTTGTACAAAGATCTGTCCTTTATTACATCATTACCAACTGCGTGAACGTAAGAAAATAAACCACGTTTACCCAAGCCAAACAAATACAAGACTCTTCTTAAAAAGTAAAACAGTCTTGGGGCGCCTGGGTGGCTCAGTCGTTAAGCATCTGCCTTCGGCTCAGGTCATGATCCCAGGGTCCTGGGATCGAGTCCCACATCGGGCTCCCTGCTCGGCGGGAAGCCTGCTTCTCCCTCTCCCACTCCCCCTGCCTGTGTTCCCTCTCTCGCTGTGTCTCTCTCTGTCAAATAAATAAATAAAATCTTTAAAAAAAAAAAAAAAAGTATAACAGTCTCACTCTTGGTCCGACTGCGTGCGTCCACAGAATGACAAGTGAATACACTAAGACATCCAACTCAGGGGCGCCCGGGTGGCTCAGTCGTTAAGCGTCTGCCTTCGGCTCAGGTCATGGTCCCAGGGTCCTGGGATCGAGCCCCGCATCGGGCTCCCTGCTCAGCGGGAAGCCTGCTTCTCCCTCTCCCACTCCCCCTGCTTATGTTCCTGCTTCTTGCTATCTCTGTGAAATAAATAAATAAAATCTTTAAAAAGACATCCAACTTACGCTACGGCTCCCTGCAAGTCTCGCTTCACATACAAAGCACCTGCTGGGTTCTATAGAAACCTTCCCCAGAAGCCCGCTCCAATCAACTGCCGTGACAAGAACAGCCCGAAGTGGCCAGTGGTTTGCCTAAAGCTCATTTCACTCATTTTATTCAACCACTGTTACTAGAAAAATAAAGTGTCACAAGACTTAATTTTTCTGAGCCAAATCAGGTTACATATACAAGGAGCTAGCTATTAGGACTATAAGCAAGATAAAATTTTCAGCAAAACTTTCTTTTTATAAACTACCCTGACCCACTTTATAAATCTACCTAATTTTTTCATATATTGATCTTAAAATAAAAAAACTCACCCCTTCTTCTAATATGATCTTAGTAAATGTTAACACTGTATTTTGACTTTGTGTTTACTTCCTCATGTGGTAACATTACATTACCACTGCTGCAAGAATTTATTGGGAAAACCTGGGCATTTGAGTGGTGCAGTTGGTTACACATCCGACCCTTTTTTTTTTTTTTAAAGATTTTATTTATTCATTTGAGACACAGAGATACAGAGAGGAAGAGAGAGAGAGCATGAGCGGGGAGAGGGGGAGAGGGAGAGGGAGAAGCAGGCTCCCCACTGAGCCGGGAGCCCGATGTGGGGCTTGGTCCCAGGACCCTGTGATCATGACCTGAGCCGAAGACAGACGCTTAACCATCTGAGCCACCCAGGCACCCCTAAACATCCAACTCTTGATTCTGGCTCAGGTCGTGATATCAGGGTCGTAAGATCAAGCCCCGAGTGAGGCTCCGCACTCAGCGAGGAGTCGGCTTGGGATTCTCTCTCCCTCTCCCTCTGCCCCTCCCCTCCACATGCTCTCTCTCTAAAAAATAAATAAATCTTATAAAAAATTTTTTATTAGGAAAATCTGACCCCACCCCCAAATTTCAATGGAAAGATAACTGATTAAGAAACCGTGACTTATTCTTTCACACCTCTATTACCTAAGGAAATTCTTCACGCTGATGTTTATAGTATGTTAATAAATGATACTAACTTACTATATACATTCTACATCGTTTTTAAAAATACTGGTGTAACTTCCACATACTGATCTCTTCCCACATCTTAGACACAAAGGCCACTGCTAGCAATGGTGGACCCTTCCCTGGGCGTGTTACTAACCTATGGACAGTAGACTCCTATGCTTGGTTAGAACCTATGTCTCACAGATACTGCTCAACTGCTGCACGTGTATTTCTAGGGAGCAGCCTGGGACTGAATCCCCATCGCACGGAAGCATCAGGCTAACAGATTCAATAATTCGCTACCCCCCCCACCCCAGGAGATAACATGTTCTACAGCATCAACTACAACTACACAAATACAGAAACACTGCCTAACGTCATAAACCCGTGAGGATGAAAGTATGTCCCACACGGACAAGGTTGTTAGGTTCAAAGAAGGATGTGGTTGGACAAAAGTTAAGGTTTCATGAAAAACTCACTGGACGAGAGTACACTAAGAGGTACAAGTTGATTATAAGGCTTCAAGTATTTTTCATTGAAAATGGTCTTACCTCTGGTTCTGTTTTTGCCTCCTCTCTGGGCTGAACCACAGGGCTGACCGGCTTGACTCTGGCTTCAGTCTTGCCCTGTGCGCTCCTGGGCCCGCCCCCCGGCCTCGTGGGCGGGGACGTGCTGGCGATCGGCTTCCCGGGAGCTGCAGGTGTGGAGGAGCAGCGGCTGCTACTCATTTCCATCACGTGCGACGGCGCTATGGGCAACTCGCGCAGATTACTGTTTCTCGGAGCAGTTGGCTGCATTTGCTGCATTGGCCGTTTGGTTACATTCTGAGAAGTTGTATTCTACCACAAGAAGAAAGAAATGTGAATTACAACCGGATACTTGGAGAAAGAACATAAAAAGGCACGTTATTAGATAAAAATATTGTAAAAATCACTTTAATTAGTAAGTGACTTCTCCTTCTGGGGTGCAGATAACTTTCCCCCGGTGAACCCTTTCTTCCGTGCGTAATGTTCCTGCTCTACGGGGCAGCACACACTACTGCTGAGGGTCAGGACTGGTCAAGGTTATCCCACCTGTCTACAGACAGGCTCCTCTTGAACGGGAGCTACACCAGGGACTGCAGCTGGTGCCTGAGGATGGGGACTGACATTTTTAACAAAGGATTGCTGGCATCACTTCTACTGGGCCCCCTAAACTTAAGGTGGAACAAGAAAAGAATCAAGCGGTGAGTCAGTATCCTGAGAAAACCGCACCCTGCACAAGAAACGCGCTCCCAAGTTTTACCCGAGAGGAAACTCTTCGTCACGCTCATCCCCCGGATTCTTAACAGAGAGCCCAGAGCCAGAGGAGCGTACAGGTAGTGGGGACGGCCGGGAGAGGACAAGCTCGGAGTGCGCCAGGTCAGCGTTCAGGGCACGAGGCCGGGGACACACCCGCCACTGCTGTGACGCAGTGAAGCCTCAGCTCCAATGCACCTCTCCGCAAGTCCTTCCTCGTTTCTTATACCATGTTAGTCAGTCTCAATACTACTTTAAGAAAGAAAGAGGCTGGTATGAGAAAAACTGAAATTAAAAGTAGCTAAGTGGCATGCTTGAAGCTGCCGGTCAAAGGGACAATACTGAAAGGAAAACCCAACTACCTCCCCTTGGCCCAACACTCTAACCATTCGCCTCTTTACGGAATTATTTAATGGAGAACACGGCGACAGCAATGACTACTGTCTTGTGTTTATGAAGCAATGCTCGTTTCCTAGTTTCCTTCAATGCAAGACGAGTCACACCCTAGCTGATGGTACCTGAGCCTGTACCCGCACAACTAAATACACTGTTAATCTCCCACCATTAAATACAGGCTTCATGAAGGCAGGAAACTGGTCTCTTTGGTTCACTGGTGCGTTCCCAGGAACTGGAATGGTGCCTAGCAACAGAGGCTAGTCAGACAATTTTTCCTGAATTCATTTACTTATTTATTCAGAGCCCAAGGAGATAAAGACAATCTCGCCATCAAAAGTAGGCTACTGGCAAAGGCAGAGTGCCCACCACCCACAAGTATTTGCTAAAATTATGTGTCTACGAATAATACCATCTATCACTATGAAAATATCTCCATACACAAAGTAAGATGAGGAAGTACAGAATATCAATGCAGTCTTTCAGGCACAAACAGGACATCATCAATTTCTGTAGTCAAAAAAATCCCGTTTCCTAAGCAGTTTATTAAATATACACTCACTTTAGAGAAACGTACTGCACGTGTTCAGTAATTAAATCAGAACTGGAAAATATTCCAGCTCCCAGGTTCTGCCCCCGGGAAGACACTCACATGCCTCAGCCCCTGGCGCTGGGGGCACTGCATCCGGCCGCTGCTGGGTGGAGGCTGGGCCGTCTGGACGTGAGGCCTAAACTGGGGCTGCGACATGGGCATGAGCGGCGGGGGCGGGACGGAGAGGTGGTGGTGGTGCTGGTGCTGTGGCTGGTGAGGCGGCTGCGGGGGTGGCTGGTGCTGCGGGGGCGGCTGGAGCGGAGGCTGGTGCTGTGGCTGGAGCGGGGGCTGCTGCTGGGGCTGGGGCTGCGGCTGGTGCGGAGGGGGCAGTGGGGGGTGCAGAGGCCCCTTCCGTGCCAAAAGAAAGAGAAACAACAGTTTGTAAATGTATATACTAGTGACTTTCCAATTCGGCCATCCCCTAAAACCCCCAGCACTAGAAACTTGAAGTGGTGCTGAGACTCCATTTCAGAATCTGTGGACAGAGGTAACATGGTCTTAAATGCAGCAGAAAGCCCAAAGCTATGCTCGTTCATTGTGCATTTGCCCTGAGTCCTCTCAACCCCAAAACTCCAGGTGTTTGTTCTAAGGAAACAACTAAGGATGCAAACACACAGGACGTTAAGGATGGTGCCCGCAGCACTGTTTCTAACACCAAAGTACTGAAACCAGTAAACATGTCCAAAGAGTAGTGGCCGCCACGAAATGTAAACTTGCGCAGTGTTTAACTGATGCAGTGAGAGCTAATTCATGAACAGGAGATCCTGCCACTGTGTTAACAAGAGCATGGCGACAGGATGCGCTAGGACAACCTGGGAAACCACAAGCACCCAAATGCTGGTGGTGACCGTTCCTACATGATGGGATTTCTCAATTTCCTTTTTAAATACTCAAATATTTAAGCAACAGAGACGTATTCATATTTTTTAATAAAAAGAAAAATGAAATATTTTATCCTACTTTAACACATGAAATAATTGTTTTTTTTTTTTTTTAATTTCGATAGTCTATGTGTGTCTAAATAGTTGATTGAAGTATCATCATTCTGTATCTTAACAGTAAGTTTAAATCTGAGCAGAATCATACGGGGCAAGAAGGATCTCACAGAAACTCCAGGCCCCCCATGAAACACAACCTACAGCAGAGGGCACTCAAATCTTTCAAACAACGGGGGAACAGCAACTCCGTTTTCCCCTCCATGCAAAGAATCTTTCTATTACATTTTGCAGGAACATAATTTGACAAAGAACTTTATTTCCACTGGTGAACCTTTCAGGAATCTTGCAATGATGAGCGAAAGTATCATCCAAACATGTCCTAACTTTAGTAGCAGTACCACCTTTAAAAAATCTGAATACTGAATTTTTTCATTTCCCCCAAAATGACAATCACTTTTTTCCATTTCTCCTACTATTAGGGAAAAAAACAATATTGTCAAGAAAGTTGCCTTTAATAAGTAGCACGTTTAAGACTAAACCCTTATTCTTTACATAATCTCCACATTCTAGAAGACTCAGATAGCAACAGGAAACTTCATTTTATGAAACACAAAGATCCAAAGCTCCAGGTGCACCCCTCCTCCATGCAGCTTGTCAAGATGCATACCTGCAGGTTAGGCTGTGCGTGGGTGGGCAGAAACGGCTGTCCCGGGCCAGGCAGGAAGGGCTGCCGAGGAGGGATGAAAGGCCGCGTGGCCGCTGAGCCTGGCTGGCTAAAGTGAAGGATCCCCACTGGACCTGGTGGCTGGAGAGCTGGCCTGACGGGCCTCTCTCTGGGGAACACGGGCTGCTGTCCCTGCTGATTAAACGCTGGTCCAGGCTGAGTGAACGGTAAGGGACTAGGGGTGGGCACTGGGTGAGTGCTGCTAAGAAGCGTGGGGGGCGGTGGCGGTGGAGGGGGGCTTCGCTGTTCCAGAAAAAGATGACTCGGGAACCTTGGTTCACCTGAAACTGAACAGTGGTGCAACGTTACCTTCGGCTTGTCACATAACAGCAGTTTTACGTACCATCTTACTGAGAACAAAATTTACAAGTGGTGGGTAGGAGATAAATGCTACATTTTACAACTTATTTCTAGATTACTTCATTACTCCTTTTCTAGAGAAGACTGCCACCTTTGTACGAGATTCTCACATTGCAGATACCAACAATGTCCAATTTTAGAATCTGAAATGACAGGAAGTGCTCTGATACAAAAATCTGACAATCGTCACAAAAATCTCCTACTGGAAGCTCAATTCAGTTTAAAACATGAATGTGTTCAGGCACATCACCCAATACGACCTTGTTCTGTGAGCCTGCACGGTCCTTTACCTCCTAAGAAGAAAGGGTCTCGCTCCTGCGGCGGGGGCGGGGCCCTCCACTGGTCCTGGAGGGGAAGTCGTGGGGGCTGGCTGAAATTGCTGGGTACAGGCCCAGGTGCGTGCTGCGGGAACTCTGGAGGGCCCTATGGAACAAAGGGAAAACAAGATGAGAGGCAGGAAAATAGTCAGCCATTTCCAGAAATGGATGCATACGTGGTTCCAACCTGAAAACATCCAGTAACTGCCTCCTGTAGCGCCCCCATATATAACTAGATGTTACAAAGTGATCCTATCCTCAATGAAACAAACATCAAAATGCAGCCCTGAAACATGAATTCCATGTTCCAGTATCACTACAGCAGAACAAGAACATTATCTTTAAGCTTACTGAAATCTATGTGATTACCGACCCTTCTTGCCCATTAATCTAAAAGGCTAAATGTCTACTTCCAGCGTCCTTGGCACTGATCATCTCGAACATGCTGTAATTTGCTGCCTTTTGAACACAACCATAAGCTACAGCTATGAAGCCGCTTTATTTCTAAAGAAGAAAAAGACACTGAATGTGCACCATAAAAAACATCAGCAAGCTCCGATGTAACAGGACAGTGTGAACTATTTAAGAAACCCTGCCGTATACGTACTGCTACAAAAGACATGTTTCAAAGCCGGATTCCACTGGATAAGACACTTTGAACTCGGACAGATTAACATTCTTCCACTAGAACTCTATTTAGAGACAAACTAAATTACTTCATTTTTTTGTTGGCCTTTTAAGTACTCATAGAGATCTTTAAAAGCACCACATTTGCATTCTTTCTTTGTTTTTTTTGGGGGGGGGGTGAGGCATTTAAAGAAAGCCTCACCAATTTTTTTCACTTCTCCAGAAAGAATTCATTAATTATACAGATCATCAAAATATTTTTCATTTAAAAACATCTTCGGGGCGCCTGGGCGGCTCAGTCGGTTAAGTGTCTGCCTTCGGCTCAGGTCATGATCCCAGGGTCCTGGGATCGAGCCCTGCATCGGGCTCCCTGCTCCGCGGGAAGCCTGCTTCTCCCTCTCCTACTCCCTCTGCTTGTGTTCCCTCTCTCACTGTGTCTCTGTCAAATAAATAAAATCTTAAAAAAAAAAACAAACAACCACAACAAAAAAAAATCTTCTTTGAAACTCAGCCAGTATTTCTCAACTTTTAAAAATCAAACTCCTTTCTCATAAACTTGAAATTCTAACTCCTTTTCTGTCATCTTATTACTAATACACTTAGCTGTTGCCTCTAAATGTGACAGCATCTTACAACATTGAAAATGTTTTTGCAAACTGCATTTACCTTCCCTCTCTCCTTAAAAGTCTGTTCTCCCTCTAGCATTGTAAGAACAATGCACAGTAAACGGAATAGCACCCATGAAAAGCTCCAGAAAAGCCCATCAGGCGTGGAAATGGCCCATCGGCAAGAGGACTGTCACCACTGGGAGAGTCCAAGAGAACTATCCTGGAGAACCGTGGGATCCAAGTCAACTCTTGGGAACACTGGGTCTGTCCAAGTTCTGAGAATCACGTAACAAGTTTAAAGACCAAGTCGTAACACCTGGACTAGTGCTGGAGCGACCTTCAAGGGAACCTGTGGGTCTGCCTGCATGCAGGGTGTGGGGGCGGCAACAGGACGGGCCCTGGCAAGGGAGACTCAGGAAATGGCCTGGTGAAGTGCTGGGTCTGGAAATGGGTGGGTTACCTGGATTCAATGCCAATTCTCTTGTTCCTCTGGCTGGTCTTGCAACCCAGGGGAAGCCAGGTCAGGAGGCCAGAGAACTGAGGCAGAGCCAAGGGCAGGGTGTGAACCAAGGCTAAGGTCTAGTTACCAGCAAACCACAACGGGAGACACTTCTACTTCGCACAGATGCCCAGCCTCTGCACACGTGAGCCAACGCTCCAGACACAGCCCCTACGGCACGGTGACTAACGACTGCAGTGATCTGCCCAGGATTTCAATAAACCACCTTGGTAAAGCCAACGTGAGCCAGTCGAGTATTGATACTGTATGAGCACCTACTTCAGGGTAAGGACCAATGGGCACTGGGGCCCCTAGGGCCCCGAGTCCCTGGGCATAATGGCCACATTCATCACTGGTGCCTTACATACTCCACATCAAGCTCTGTGCAGCGCCCCGACCACCTGAGCTCATGAACACGAAAGTACAGCAGGAGCACGAGACCCATTTCACAGCCAAGGAAACGGAAACTCAGGACATTAAATAATTTGCCCACGTGACATCATTCTATTTTCTTTTAAATTTTATTTATTTATTTTATGATTATCATTTTTTAAGTAGGCTCCATGCCCAGCGTGAAGCCCAGTGTGGGGCCTGAACTCACAACCCTGAGATCAAGACCTGAGCCCAGAGCAAGAGTTGGACGCCCAACCGACTAAGCCACCCAGGTGCCCCTATTTTTTTTTTTAAATCAGAGATTTCAATACTCAAGAAGAACAAGTTAAAAGCTCCCAAAGGGTTCATTTTATTCTTAACATGAAAATGAAGCAGGGGAAGTTTCAACCCATATGATATAAATCTTATCAAAATTACTAAATTTGGGGATTTTAAAAACCAGATTTTCCCTTGACTTAGACATGAAAACAAGAGCCTACAAGTCAACAGAATTGCGAATTCTGGAAACCATCACGTCATACACAAACTTCCACATTTCATACCTCATCCCCCTCTTTGGCAAATTTTCACTCTACCCGCTGTCTCAGCCAAAATGCAAAATCCCTACCGAGAAGGGCTTCTCCTGTAAGTCCTCGGCACAGGCACTCCATTTTCTCCTGCCCTACTTTCTCTCTTGCCAGCTCCATCTGGCCGGCTCACAATTTCGGGAGATCTGCCCTGCACATGGCCCATGGACCATGTACCCACCCACATGTCCCACTTCTCCACACACCACTGAGTGCTGCTGGATAAGGCTGGAATCACTCAGAGTGTGGATTTCACTTTAATTGGCCTATCAATGTCCCTCGGCAGTTTCTCACCTACTGCCCAGGATACTCGGCCATCTCTGAGCACCTCCTGGTCCCTCCGCCCTCACAGCGCTGTCCTTCCTAACGCTCCTACCACGTACGGTGCTTCCTCCTCTGGGCTGAGAGGACTCCCAGCCCTCTTGCCCTGCAATGCTCTCTGCATCCCGTGTCCTATCTGCTTTCATTCCCCTCCATCTACATAGAACATTCTAGCATGAATAATGTGCTTGCTGCTAACTTTCAGTCTATTATTACATTGGTCAGATTTTTCATTAAAAAGTAGGAACGGTACACTAAATTATGACCAGGGTTGAAAGTATTACACTACTGATTTGTTGGCAAGCTTTCCTCCTGAACTTGAGTCAGCAAACTTCAGGGCTCGTAACTCATGCACTGCATCAGTCAAGGAGCTGAAAAAACACAGACGCAGGGACACAGTTCAGAGAAGAGGACAGACAGAATAAAACGTACTTTCTGAGAAAGAGGGGGAGTCCTTGGGTTATTTCCACTCAGCCCTGAGGTCCTGTGTTGTACCAAGAGCTGGAAAGCGGCGGCATTCATTGTGGGAACTTCTTAACAAACGTACCAACTGTTTCACCCACTCCACCAAAGGGGAGAGCAAAGTGTCCTTTCTCCACGGTACCGAACCGCTCCCGGATCAGCACTGCCGTTTCCTGCCCCAGGCGAACACCACCGGCACCCCTTTCCCGTGAGTGCCCTACAGGACCCAGTGTGCACAGCATCTCCGTCCGTGTCACCCACGCCTCGGACTGGAGGCACAAGTCGGGCCCAGGCAACTGCCTCTGGAGCTGGCGCTCCTTCACGCGGGGACCAGCAGTTTCTCCTCACCCTCCGTCCTGACTCTCTCTACTCATAAATACGAGAAGCGGAAAGAGGCTCCTGACTTTTCTGTCTTGACTAAAAACCATGGCCTTCTTCGCGATTTAGTATGTGAAGGCCCGGTACTTCCTGCTAGTTTTCGCGCCAGGCTTACATCACGCAGGGTTTACAGAGAAATGGAAAATACTCGGTTTCTTCTGAAATCTGTCGGAAGCAATAAATTCCACGACTGCGTTTTACTGCCCCACGCCCCTCCCCTGCTGAGGAAGCCCCAGACAGGACTGGCCACGTGGCTGCGACAACAGGGTTCCTCACAGCCTTCCTTTTCTCCTTCCATTCGAGAGTTAATTTCAAGTCCTCCAAAAGATAGGTTTTCTCATTATAGATAAGGCAAAATGTAACGGGAAAAGTAGACTGGCTTCCTTTCCATTATAAGCAGAAGGTCTGCTAAGTTTTGATTTTGACTTCGCCACAGGTTGAGATCAGGTAAAGTATTCTCAGCCCCCTTCATCCGTTTCTAAAAGGAAGCAGTTACTGAATTATGAGAATGAACTCAAAGAGAAACCAATGTGGTTAGTTTTCAATAAAAATTCCAAGCTGCCTGAGAACTAGGTACATTCCTGGGAGATTATTTTAAATATTCATAACTTCTAAAGACATTTTTGTATTAAGCTGAAAATATATTGAGATCATAAATCTTGCCCCCTTTAGAATTCTAATATTGTGATTTTCATCTCTTTCCAGACCTTCTTTCCTTTTACTAATTATCTACGTGCTGCCTAATTGCATTCAGACACGAGCGTTCAAACGTTCGCAGTATGGGACAAGGCCTCCCCATATCCTTTCTTCATCAGTCACTCTTCAGACAGAACCTGTCTTCCAGCTGGTCGTCTCCCCGAAAGGCGCTGGCCAGCAGAGGCTGAGCAAGCAGGTGGCAGCACCGGCCCTCCCATCACCTAGCACAGCCCTGAGCATGCCACCGAGCCTCTCTGGGTCTCCGTTTTCTTATCTATAAAAGGCAGGGATACTGACGAGCCCTGAAGTTTCTCATGGGAGAAGATGAAAGAACACGTTCAAAGTACCTATGACAGTACCCGGCAAGTAACAGAAGTTCACAGCGTTTGCCATTACTGTCATTTGTACGTGACATTTTTGTAGACAGCATTCCATACTGTAAACCTAACACAGAGCTGCTGACAAGCGCCATGTCTCCTTATACCGTGCAAAACAGACCAGCGCAGGCCCCCTTCCTGCATTCTCACCCCTGAGTCACAGAAGGAGGCTTCACAGA